TCACCCCAAAATTAAGTGCTCTTGCTTTTCTCAAGGTCAAACTTCCAAATATGACCGACTGGCACAATTATGACAGCCTGAAAATATCTATAACAAACACGTATTGGAAATTCTTCAATAGAAATTTTGCAGAAAACAACTTGTGTATGTGGAGAATTCTTTGCTGGTGTGGAAGCTGCAGCCCACCGGGGAAAATTATGAACTTATAAACGAGGGTTCAAAACCCATGGAGAAATCCTAAAGCCTACCCTACTACTACTACTACTACTACTACTACTACTACTACAGTCTTCTTTGCAATAGAAGTTGCAAATGATGAATTTTTCTTTTAAGGCCGCCGACGTCAAAATTCGATCAAAAGGGACGTTTTTTAATGGTAATAAATCAATTGCAAAATTGTTAATGAAAGAAATAAGCAATAATAAAGATAAAACCTATGGCAGACATATACAAAACAGACAACAATTGTGGGATGAATCATTGAGGATTGAAAAGAGAGGGGGAATGCGCTAACAGCAAAGGAACAAAGGAGCACCAGAATTGGGAATGCAAAAAACGTAATAAACTGCACAAGACTAGATGGCCCGGCTGACAATCATAGTGGCGTTTCCTCTCATGAGGCACACTGAGAGGCTCTGGAGAAGGCGAACTGGGGCAACACGAGCGTCACGTGAACCAGAACGTCTGGCATCAGCGAGGATAGCAACTGACTTGAGGGTTTTGATAGCTAAAGCGGACCAACCCCCGAGCGTTTCGACTGCTAACGGGAAAAAACAGATTCCTTGTTCCTCACAGTTTTTCTCGTGTTTCGAAATTTTGCGGTCCTCAGCAACTTCCAGGGACGCCCCGGGGGTCTCCGCCGCACGAGAGAGAAGAGATAACTGCAGCGGGGATGTCACGGTGACGTCGAAAGCAGCTGGGCGACCAGCGCTCCAAGTAGGGATAAAAATATCGCCGGGTTTGGACCGTTCTCCAGGGATGAGGTTCCGTTGCTCCTTGATGGGGGCTAAAGAGGCAGCCGAGGTAGCATTGAAAATAATGTCCCGTAGTCTGTCGTGACGGGAGATCCGGCCACCACTCCCCCCACAAGCGACAGCGTGGTCCCCGAGGACGTCCAGAATGCCAGACGGACACGCGGGGCACCTACGAGCAGACGCGAACACAGGAAGACCAAGGCGGTATCTGACAGCAGCTTGGAACTCAGCAGGTAGCAGGTGCAGGCCAAGACCTTTAATGGGGACTGCGGTAAGCCAAGCGCCGGCGTAAGGCAGAGAGAGCGACTGAAGACGAGCTTGCTCGCGGGAATCGGGAAGAGACGAGAAGAACGCGTTGTAGGTGGCCTTATCGAGTTTCTCTTGGAAAGCTTCTTGAGTAAAACCGGGAGTGTTAACGCTTCCAGACTGTTCACGGAAGTCGTTCGAGGCACGCAGGAACTCCGGCGTATCAGTGATGTCGCATTCGGTAAGAAACGAGACCAAATGAGCTGACTGACACGAAGACCCTAGGAAGGCAGGGATGTGTTGGTCGCGAGCTTGCCGGACGCCAAGTCCGCCATCTTTGATAGGCAGGGAAGACTGGGACCAGGCAAGATCAGGAACAGGTGAGCCAACTATGACAGAAAGAGCATCGCGGAGGAGTTCATCAAAAACTTGCAGGGAAGCTGCGACAGGCTGAGAGGGCGGCTGAGTGCGAAGAGAGTACGTCAGCTTGGGAGCAGCAAGGCAAGTGCGAGTGATGCCAAGTGAGAGCTGGGGGTCATCAAGAAGAGGTAACTTTTCAAGACATTTGGTGGCCTTCGAGATGCGTTTGTCCAGGACTTTAACTGAGAACTCAGTATCACCAATGGGGGCGCCAAGAAGCTCGAAGCCATTAGACGCTGCTCTCGGGATAGAGACGGGGATGGAGGAGAACTCCACAGGGGCCCACAACTCACACTTACTGTGCTTGATGAGTTTGTTGCCCTAATAATTAAGTTTGCGATTAGCAAGCGTAATCAAAACGGGGTATAGACATTTTTTTTCGGGTTAAAAATTAGTTCAATAGAATCAGTTGAATCATTTCACCTTTGGTTCATATGAAATCAATAGTGAGACCTCAATTCCCGCTTGTGACGAATTGCCTAAAAAGACCAAGATAATGGTTCGAATCTGGCCAACACCTGTTATTTGTAATCGTCAAATTGTCTGCGAGTCCAAAATTTAATGGTTGGTTTGTTAATGGTTGGTTTGTTGCCCTAATAATTAAGTTTGCGATTAGCAAGCGTTATCAAAACGGTGTATAGACATTTTTTTTCGGGTTAAAAATTAGTTCAATAGAATCAGTTGAATCATTTCAGAAATTTTTGCTAAAAAGTAAATTTCAAACGTTTTCGCAACTATGTGCATCGTCAGGATTTTTACAATAAACTACTCTAAATGACGATAAAACATCAATTTACAAATGTTATTTACAATAAATCACATACAATTTGGTTCTAAACCATCATGATAAAAAATTAGCCAATCACAGTTGACCTCTAAATTACTATTAAGATTAAAATACTTTTAACCTCTAAAATTAATTAAACATTTTAAAATTAATTTGTCTGGAAGTTTCTGAGTCATAATTTCAATTTAGACATGTACGTTTTGAATAAAAAACCAAAAATATTTTGGGACTAAAATTTCAGTGTTAACTCCCTGCTCCTAAACTCATCGCGCGTGTTCAAGCCCGGTTTCTCTTTCCTGATATGTATTGCCTCTAGTGTTAGCAATTTTGTTTGGTTGTTTGACCTATCTATAATTTACCAACTAAGATCTGCGCTATTTCCCTCAAGTTGGCATTGCTGAAGGTGGAGGCCTACCGGTGAGTCTGCTTTCTTATGTTCCTCAATTCTAGTGGTCAAATGTCGAACAGTTTGTCCGACATAGGTGGAAGTGCATCCACTACATGACAGTTTATAAACCACTCTTGACTTGAGGTCATTAGAAAATGCTGACTTCAGTGATGGTAAACATGATTGTAGTTTTCTTGTGGTGAAAACCACTTGAACGTTCGTTAATTTTCGTAACCTGTTAGCAAAATATTGGCTCTGGTTACCTCTATATTGCACCATCAGCATTGGGGGCTTCTCATCCTTTGTTGATTGAACTGACAAACCCCTGTCACTATCCAGGGGCTTGCCTTTACCCTCGATGATCTTGCACAAGGCGTCTGAAGCCACCTTTGCGGACCAATTTTCAGGGTACTGATTTGTCAGCCATTGCGCCCTATTAGTTTCCATAGCCTTATCAAATTGCTCCCAGCTAGATGTACTCCTAAAAACCCTGTGTACAGTGCCTTGGATAACACTACGCTTATACTGAGTTGGGGCGCAGCTTCTATAGTTCAGTATAGTCCCTGTATCTGTTGGTTTTTGATACCAACTGCAAGTTACACGCCTATCCTGCGATACATTTATGTTCAAATCCAGGAACGGCAAATTCCCCTCCGAATTAGTTTTCTCTAGAGTGAACTGCAAATTTGGATGAAGAGAATTGGCGGCATCGAGAAGACAACTCGGCTCCCCTCTGACTGTTCTAACAATGTCATCCACATACCTGAGGAACAATTTCACCTGGGGAGTATCCTTCTCCTTGTTCTTAGCTCGGCAGCAGCTTTCACAGTACCAGACTATCTCGGTTATTGATGCGTATACGTCATCGGATATTTTTCCGCATTTTAGATGATACCAGTTTCGGCAACTCTCGCATTCAACCCCCTTTGATCTATATGTGACTTTCCTGCTGCAACATGGGCACAAGCCGTTTTTGAATCATTTCACCTTTGGTTCATATGAAATCAATAGTGAGACCTCAATTCCCGCTTTTGACGAATTGCCTAAAAAGACCAAGATAATGGTTCGAATCTGGCCAACACCTGTTATTTGTAATCGTCAAATTGTCTGCGAGTCCAAAATTTCTCTGTCAAACTTTCGTTTGTTATCTGTTTAGCCGAATTAGTTGCTGCAGCACCTAATTTGCCTAAGTTTTTCCTACACAAGGAAAGATTGTTTGATAGTATGAACTCTCTTTTTTTCCAACCTAAGCCGCAAGTATTAGTGTTCACTTGGATAGTGTTCCTTTTGATCAATAACCAGCTCAGCCAATGCTTTTGATCAATAAGTACAGCCAAGGATATTAACACGGACTATTTTACTACAAATAGCACGTTAGCTTCAAGGTACCAAAGATCTGTAGGGAAGGAGACCCGTAACAAAATAAGAGGGTTAGAACCTGGGCAGGGTCGGATGTTTTAAATGAACTTTTTCATATACTAGTTAAAATGCGTCCGCTCTATAAATTGAGACATTTTAGTTGGTAAGTTTTTTTTCAAATTGACTGGTACTGCTAATGCCTCATAATTGGCTTGTGTCATTTAGCAGTTATGTAGACTCATAATTGGCGTGCGTCGCTTAAGAAATTTTGTAGTTTGAAGTTTTACTCATTCAGTTTTTCCCAGTAGCGTTATCGGTCATATTTTTGCGTTATCGGTCATCGCTTGTGTTAAAATTAAGGAGTGTTCTGAATTTGGTGCAGTAGTAACACCCATGCTTGAGACAATAAATCCCAGAAGTTTGATTCCAGTCGACTCTTGTTTTTTTTTTGTGGAAACTGAAAGTTTTTGGAAATTTGTGTCTGCTAATTTTTGTCTGCATAGTTCCCGCAAGTTTTGGCTTTTTTAGCATTTTGAAAGCTCTTGGTAAAAATTTAAAGTTTTTTTTAATTTTCATTTGATTTTCATTTGCCGGAAATCAAGGTCACTCAGATTTTTATCGCAAGTGATGTGAAGTTCAGCTTCGACTAGTGTTTCAACTTTTTGCTCACCTCTAAAGAAAAATTGAGGTTCAGGACAGTCATATCTGTATTTTAGGGTATGGTATTTGTTATAATGTTAAAAAGTTGAATAACAGAACATTATGAGCTGCTTTAAAGAGCTCCCTTTCGCTGTGCCCAAAACTTTTGCAGACGCTGTTTCAGTTTAATTATGAGCCAAATAATTTTTTGAAATGTTTGAGAACTATAACTCCGCTGGTCAGGAGACTCCAACCAATAACCGTCTCTCGGGTTATTCGGTGAATTCTCCTCCCTTGCAGAGGAAATCGCTTCCACCCAGAAATCCAGATGATGAGTCGACAACAAGTTTGCGACCTAGTGAAATGAGTGGAAGTTTGCCTTCGTCTCCAGCTGAAGTTACCTTTAGAAGAATAGGAGGGAACCGAAAAGCTCGAGAAAGTTTTAACCGATTATCCGTCGAATTTGAAGCAGACGCACCCGAAGATGCGAAAACGTATACAGAAAGGTTTGCATCCGCAAAAGCGTTGTTTGAGAATATGACGCGATCGCATATGCCTTCAATTGAGTCCCCAAATCGAACCAATGTATCGAAAGTTCCAAGAACTTCTTTTAAAAATCGTTCTCCTAATGGAACTAAGGTTTCACCTCCTGTTCCAATCAAACCTGTCCATGGAATTTCAAATAGCAACGCATCTAACTCGTATGCCGAAAAGTCATCGCCTATAACTTCAACTTTGAATCGATTGCTTCCAGATTCGCCTAAAAGATCATCTTTTGTCGATAATAGTGACAACATCATAGACAGCTTAGGTCCTAGGTTAAGTCCTGAAGGTCAGGCTGATCCGTCTCCGCCGACATCAACTGGCGACTTGGTAGTGACCTCAGGAGAATCTGTCAATGAACAGCCGTTACCGGCTGATCATGAAGCAGAGCAACTCGAAACCGTTTCAGCTTTAAAAACAGAACTCGAAGTGGTAGAATCTAGCGTGGATACTAAAAAACCATTCGATGATTCCATTGAAGAAGAACCCACAGTTTATAGCGGGTCAGTTGAAGAAAACTTCATCCCCTCGTCTAATTCGATTAAACAAGAAACTGCGTTGGAAACAGAGGCTCGAACTGAAAAACCTGAACCCGAAGAAAAAATAGCCAGTGAAAATGACGATAAAAATAAATTGTCGGAAAACAAAACTGCTGATATGCTAAATTTAGAAAAAGAAGGCAATGATGATACTGAGACGGAAATGGGAGATGAGACTGAAAGCGCGAATGAAGACGAATATGATTTAGGAAACGAGTTACCAGCTGAATTCAACTTGGCAGAGGATGCCAAAGATGTAAAAAGTGACGTGGTTGAGTCAGAAAGCGAGGCATATGAGAAAAACATTCTCGCCAACGTCGAAGCAGCAGAAGTTATTGAAGATCGCGACCAGTCAGATAATTATGAGGAAATTGAGGAGTATGATCCACCTGATGATGAAAGTCTTATGTGGAAAGAGGTGTACGAGGGTTTACAAGAGGAAGATGAAATCGCCGGACTTCCCGCTCCCCTGGAAGAAGATCTCTACGTAGTGGATGATGAAATGACACGAAAAAAGAAAGTCGTATTTTCCACAAGTAATATAAAGGTATGATAAGATACGGATTAATTTCGTAACAGTTTCCTTGCATTACTCTTTTAAAAACATCGTAAGGATAATAAACGGTAAAAAAAAAGCTTGGAATTTTAAAAAGTGCTGCTTTAATTTTTTAATCCCCAAAACATGCAAAAATCCCCAAATACAACGCTCCGTGCACATCCGTGATTGTTACGGAGCTTTGGATTTGGGATTGTCATTTGTTCTAAGAAAAAACTAAGATACCTCAAAGAAGCCTTAATCGGAGTTAAGTGATGTATATTTTTCAATCCCTCTGCAGTGAATCAAACTACTTGAGAAATATTTCAACTAAATTTCTGTGTACAGAAACAAAATGTTTTAAAATGTGTGTATTGATTAGGCGGCCCAAAACATGAAAAACATAAGTCAGGTGAATGAATATTGCATAATATTTAACTTCTATGTTATCGCTACACAACTCGTCGAAAGTTGAAGCTGGTGTATTAAATGGTTGTTTGTCTAACGGATGGTTGCCATACGCCATAATGAACAATAATCTATCGAGATATCAGATTTTGCTGAAATATTTGCGTGCATGAATTGCAGATGTCATATACGTACTCGATGAATGATCTTGACCGGAGGAATGACCAGATCGATCCAGTGGGAGCATCGGCCGAGTATGAGTTGGAGAAGAGAATCGACAAGATGACACTGTTTGACGTGGAGCTGGACAAGAGCAACACTGGCCTGGGTCTCAGCATCATTGGCATGGGGGTGGGTGCGGATGCGGGTGTGGAGAAACTGGGCATATTCATCAAGACTATGAACCCCAATGGAGCTGCTGCTCAGAGCGGAAAGTAAGATTGCGAGAAACTCATTCAAATAACCAAGTAATGTTACTTTATGGTACATTTTTAGACGATCTGAATAAATTCAGAGCTTTATAACATGGCAGAGATGTAATAAATCTACTATGGAATTTTCAGGCTCCGAAAACTCCTAAATAGATTTAACCTTTTTTTTATTATTCAGAGTTGATGAACGTAGTTCAGACTCTTATATAGGTGCTTATGATTTTTTTGTTTTTTTCTTAGTGAAAATTTTAATATTGTTAGGCTCAAATTTTTCGTAATTTTCGTAAATTTAGTTCCTTTCCTTTGTTAAAAGGAAGGCAAACTCGAATAGCGAAATTGTAAAGGTCAAAGAAAACCTGATCGACTTCCAATTTCAAAAGTGGAATTTAATTTTCAGATATCTCAGCGGAATTAGAAATTACCTGTTGATCCATTCTTCTGAAATTGGGTTTATTCAATCGAAGTAGTGTCAATTATAAGTTGTTCCCGAAATTCAAAGAGCTTGAAGGGCATTTATTTTTTCTTTAATATGAAGTTTTTTCAAAAAATAGGCTATTTATTTTGTTTACTTGCGTTCTGTTGGCTATGTTTGTTATTCTAGAAAATTCTGAGGTATTTAAATACTAAAAATTCCCCTTTAAAGAGACGTGATTTTTTGTACTTTGCTATCTTTCTCCGATGCTGTGCAATATGTGTGTGTGCGTGTGTTGCACTGTATGCATTGAGTATTGTGTTGTTATTTTAGAATCTGTGTGGGGGACATGATCATAGAAGTGAATGGACAGAGCCTGGTGGGGGTGACACAGGTGTTCGCAGCCACAGTCCTCAAGAGCACCGAGAGTGTAGTCAAGTTAGTCCAGTACCCCTCCCCCTTCCCATCGCAGCCACCCCTCCCCCCACCCCATCCACACATATACAACATACATTTATTAGTGGTCAAACTCCTCGCAATCTCTTCTCTTTCTATCTAACTAAATTATATATTCCTAAATATACGTTGAATTCGCTCATTGGTCAACATAAATGATGAAAGGAGCCCATTAGTACAAATTCAGTTGGTATTCCATCGATCACTTAAGTAGATCATAATCAAATAGGGTTTGATCGATTGATAAGTTGTTGCTACAGTGACGTGTATCCTTTCTTAATCTGAAAAAGCACTATTTTTAAATCATGATTTTATTTAAGCTGATTGATGGAAATAGCAATAGAAATTCCGCAAATGCTTAGGAGACTGCCAGTGCTTTTAGATTACCAAGCCGTCTAACTGCTGTTGTATATCAATGATCTAATGCCATTTACATGGAAAAAAAAACGTTTTATTAAGAAGACTTCATATAAAGTGAGACAAAATGGCGCAATAGTTGGCATATATCAAAAACAAAATTGAAACGAAACTGACTATTGAATTTTTTTGTTCATGTTATCTTATCGCATTTTTTTCGTTGTGCTTATTTTTGGGATTTTGTTCTGAAGACGAGCAGTGGATATTTATTTTAGTCTTATTATAGTTCATACTTATTAGTTAGCAGTGACCTTGAGCAACTTAATCGATCAAAAGGGTGCTGTTTGGACTCCATGAGTAAAAAAATTGAGTTTTGACGTCAAAATAAATGGGCAGTTTTGATTCAGATTAATTGACAGAATCACATATTGCCAATAAAATTTTGGCATATATAGCTGTGTCTGAATGGGAGGCTTTGATCGATATTATACCCAAATGGCCAAGATGTTGTTCATGTTCAGGTTCAAGTTGGGTCGAGAACAGGAAAACGGAGAGATTAGTCGTCTGTTGCATGACGCACACGCAGAGGAACAGGCGGTGTCTGCGGCACATCAAGGTATGAACAACCACCAGCACGGACACACACCCTCAAACACTGCCAGCACTGGCTCGGCCGGCGACTCAGAATCTTTCGCGGTTAGTCAATCCAATCAATATATTTAAGGTTTTGATAGGTTACCAGATTTTTATTTTTAGATAATAGAAGCTTAGTAATTGAGATACAGGTATAAACGTGCCAAATATCAGAAAAATTTTTGGATTGTGGTGTTTTGGTATATTTGTTAATGAGTTTTGTTTTATAGCACGATGGTTACAGTGAGTCTGTGGAGGACCTCTTGCCGACGGCCGAGAACTTCGAGAAGCTCAAGATGATGTACCAATACGTAAGTTGAAACATAGCCAGCATGCAGTTGCAAAATTGTTAATTAAGATTATTTCCGATAAAGAAATAACATACGAGCTGTTCAGGTTTTAACTGAGAACTGCTGACATGTTGAAGATTTTTTGTGGTCTGAGTATTTTTTACTCGCCTTCAAGCATTCAACTTGGATGATGATGGGCCTCGAATTATTGATATTTCGGTTGAGACGCGCAGATTGACGCCGCTCCTCGCGTTCATGCAACGAGTTTTTTTTTCTTCGTTTTATTGGGCAAATTAAGTCACCTGGAAGTTTTTTTAAGCTTCCAGAATGTTTCATGATTTGATAAATCCAACAATGATCAGATAATGTTTTTTCCACTGAAAGTTTTAATAAGGGTTGCGATTAAAAAGCGTTATTTAATAAGAATATAGATTCTGAAGTAAACAACTCGTTTAACAAGATCACTTGAATCATTTGATAGCGTGCTGATTAGTAAACTCTTCTTGACGAGTTTCTCCGGCACACTTGGCTTAGAGTTAACGAGTTAGGACCTGTTTTTATTAATCAGTTTTCGGCTTCATAAAAATTATCGATCTATAGTTTGTCTGCTTATTTTTCGCCGAGTTTTATTGTCTTTTACGTAATGTCGGTCACGTTGATTTTTAAATTTTTTTTAAGGAAAAAGTCTTAAAATTTGTCTTAGGATTGTTTGCGGTTCGTCTTGATTTCTTTTTAAGTTCATTTCTTTTGTTGAAAGGAAGGCAAAATCTATTATCGAACAGCAAAAGTGTAAAAGTCACGGAAAACGTGCTCAACTTCTAGTTTCGAAAATGGATTTAAGTTTCAGATTTCCAGTGGAATAAAAATTTTACTTATTGATTCAGTTTTTTTTTCAAGTTGGGTTAATTTTATCAAAAAGTGTCAATCAGAAATTGTTCTTGAAATTCAAAGAGCCTTAAGGCTAAATATTTTTTACTTTGAAACTCAAAAGTTGAAATTTTGTTTTAAAAAACAGGTCGTTGTTGTTCTTTTTACAAAGCAAAGCTTGTGTTATAGTATGAACTATCTTTTTTTTTCGATCTAAGTCGCAAAGATTGTTGCGACAAAATGTGTTATCAATAACCAGCTATTAAGTACAGCCAATGTTACAGATGTTAACACAGACTATTATATTACAAATAGCACTTTAGCTTCAAGGTATCATGGATCTGTAGTGGTAGGGGAGACCCACAACAAAATAAGAGGGTTCAAACCTGGGCGGGCTTGGATGTTTTTAATGAACTATTTCGTATACTAGTTGAAATGTGTCCGCTCTATAAATTGAGGCATTTTACTTGGCAAAACTTTTTTTTTTCAAATTGACTGGTACTGCTAATGCGTCATAATTGCCTTGCATCGCTATACAATTATGTAGACTCCTAATTGGCGTGCGTCACTTAAGAAATTTTGTAGACCCTAAGTTTTAATCATTCAGTTTTTCCCAGTAGCATTATCGGTCATATTTTTGCTTGTGTATGTGAAGTGCAATTTCGCCTCTGTGTCCATTTCATTACATTTACTACTCTTTTCCAACTTTCTGTTGGCTATGTTTGTAATTGAAAGCGTTTTTGATTCAGTTGCAATTTGTTGGTTTACTATTTCTATGTTTGTTCAAATTCTTAAAAACTTTATTCAACCTAAATGACTTGGCTGAAATGGCATCGTCTTAGTGACCTAATCTTAGGTCTTCTGAAATGATGATTAGATTTTTACCCTTTGTGTGTTTCTGGAAGGTGAATGGCGTAAACGTTGCGAACTTCAAAACTGTATAGCTCAAAGTTTTTCATGGCAATTTGTTGTTTTTGGCCTCAACGGGCGTTTACCTAATTTTTTTAGTCGGCTTAGTCCTGGCTTTTCAAATGTTTCTGAATCCTATTCAACGCCGTCACTTGTGTTGCTTGACGTGTTTTCCTCAAATTGAACATCATTCGAATAAAGCTTAAAAACTTTATTCAACCTAAATGACTTGGCTGAAATGGCATCGTCTTAGTGACCTAATCTTAGGTCTTCTGAAATGATGATTAGATTTTTACCCTTTGTGTGTTTCTGGAAGGTGAATGGCGTAAACGTTGCGAATTTCAAAACTGTATAGCTCAAAGTTTTTCATGGCAATTTGTTGTTTTTGGGCTCAACGGGCGTTTACCTAATTTTTTTGTCGGCTTAGTCCTGGCTTTTCAAATGTTTCTGAATCCTATTCAACGCCGTCACTTGTGTTGCTTGACGTGTTTTCCTCAAATTGAACATCATTAGAGATCAAAAAAAGTGGAAATTTTTGTAAATTTAGTTATTTTAACAGTTCAATTTCTTGTGTGCAATGCTTTGTTTGTTTGGCATCGTAAGTTATGCTGAGCTCTGCTTCGATTTCAACCTCTGTGCAATGAAGTTCCATTTTCGAAACTAAACGACAAGGTTCATTGTTTGCGCCCGTGGCATTTCTGTTATTGAACAACATAATGTAGGCCACGTTTTCATCATTCTATGTTTATTTTAGAGTGAAAGCACTCGGGCGATGTTCCAAGAAGAACGGGAACAAGCTCTGATGCAGTTAGACAGAATCCAGTCTGAACGAGATGAGCTGGGAGGCCGAGTGATCCCACGTCTTGAGGCTCAGATAGCCAGTGTGCAGGAGCAGCTGCAAACTACACAAGCTAGAAGAGACGAACTGGAAAAGAAGTACACGAAAGCGAAACGACTCATCAAAGATCTTACCACCGAATCGAACGAAATGAAGGAACACGTGAGATCTGTCAAGGAGCAAATGAACTCGATGAAAGAGGAATTTCAAGAGGAGAACTTCACGCTGCATGAAAAGATTGCGCTTCTAGAAGCCCAACTGCTGCAACAGGCGTCGACCGTAACCCAAATGCAAGCTGCAGGAAATTCTTCTGTTAATGTAGCTGGAGAACAAGTGACTGCAGGAGGGTCGAGTGACGTCAGTGTCAGTCATGATTCAGTAAGCGGGTTGCATTCTGGGAGAGACGATGTTGTGAACCAGACTCCGGTGATAGGAATTGAGCTGGAAAGCAGCCAAGCAAAAGGTAGAACTGTTTCATTTAAATGCTAGCAGATAATTGGCACAAACTTTGATCATTTAGTTCACCGTGGATTGTTTTTGGGTCAATTCTAGATCTATTTGTAGAACTGGGCATGTTTAATATTTAATTGCCATTGATACAAATTACATGATCTTTGATATAAATTACATGATCTTTGATGGTTAAAGGGTTTTTAGGTACCGCGACAACTCGCAACAAAAGGCAACTAGCAAAATATTAAGAAAAAGACAACTCGCAGAAAGAGACAACTCCTGTAAAACTCGGAAGAAAATTAAATTTCCCTTTAATCTAAAATGTGAAACAAAAAAGCGGTAAAACATCAAAGCCTTTGGGGCGTCAAAATTGCTTCTGTATAAAGGAGTTTTCCTGGTCAAAGTTAAATGAAAGAGCTTCCAGCTGCGAAATTTCATCATTGTTTTCATAGTTTTTAAGAGTTTCTGATATACTTTATTGCAATTGTTTATATTTAGGACATTTATAGGGCTTTTCTCCGGATTTGAACCGACTCATGCGATTTTCGGTTAAACTTTGCTCCCTCCTTATTTGCTGTATGAAATTTGATACAATGGGGTGAGCATAGCGCTTTCCTAATTGAAAAGTTTTTTGCCATCCTTCCACCGACTTGTTAGCTTTTTTATTTCTATTTATCGCATTGCTGAACTGATTTCATATAGCTCGTATGATATCTGGATCTTTACGTAGAAATCCACGTACATATTCTCCAACTCACGTTTTTTCGAAATAATCGAGAGATGACTGCAGCTGCTCATTCTCAGTTGTTGCGTAGAGAGATTTAGTGCCAACTTCCCTTTCAGGAATGAGCGCCAGCGCAATAAATGATTCACTTTCTTTCTTAAGTCTTCGTCTTTTCTGTATGCAACCGCCAGTCCTAATTTTTGTATGTTTCGCCAAATGGCCTGCGCAAAACGAAAACACACACTTCTACTGACGCTGTGAAGAATTCCGATTTTAAAGCAGAAATTGCTTCTTTTTCGAAATCAATAACAACTTTGTTTGCTCTAATAAAGGTTCATGTTCACGTAACTCTTGAAATACTTGTTGATATTGCTGTTGAGTTTTTAATGTAACAGAAAGTAAACCATTGGGAGGGAGCAGTAATTTATAACAGCATGTACAGTATATACTTGAAGAATAATGCGGGACAACTTTTAATTGTGCCATCAGCGTGCCAAGTTGTTTAACGCTCGAGAATATCAAAGTTTGCCTCAGTGTGAACATAAGAAGTCGGTCGGAATCTCTCGGCCCCGAGTCATGAGCGAAGAAATTTTACCCTCATAAAGTGATTTGAAGTTCCATGGGAATTGCGATGTCCACCACGGTTTTTGGCACAACTCCAAAGTCTCTTTCTCGTTGAATCTCTTTTGCAGCCGACGTAATTTTGGGAATCTTTCCTGCGCACTCCTCAGAAACAGTGCTCGTTACGTTTTGATAAATAGATCGGGATGTTCTCGCGTTTTTTGTGCTCCTTCTTCAATTTTTTTGCATGACACTAAAAGCATTGTGGAAGTTTACATTTTGCCCCTCAGTAGTACTGCCAATAGTTAAGAATACTTTTTGAAATTTTGTCAAAAAATTTTTTCCTACATTTCTCCTCAATTTTTAACTGCTATGCACTTAACGGTAATGCTTTTTTGCTCCTTTTTGAACCGAATTTCTTGAAATTGTAGTTTAAAAAAATGTAAAAAAAAATTAAGACCTGTAGAAAACTGACTGTTCAGTTACTCGTTCATGAGGCAACACTGATTGTAAATGAACCGCTTCTTTTGCCACAAGTAAATCATCACGTGTATATACTTTTGATTTGCAAGGTCTTTTTGAGCATATCCAAGTTAATAGCCTTTTTTTTCATTAAATCGAACTTCATTAATTTTTTATCTTCAAATATCAAGATTAGTTTCCCGCGCTTGCTTGTAGTGAATTGCAACATTATTCGAATGAGTAGAAACGTAGTTAGAAACCAAATTGATGATATAAAAATAATTGCAATCAAGGGTTGGACTCAATTTCCACTGTTAAACGAACAAAAGTCTCAAATTTTTTCCCAATAACAGAAAGTAAACCAATGGGAGGGAGCAGTTGTTTATAACAGCATGTCCAGTAAATACTTGAAGAATAACGCGGGCCATCTTTTAATTGTGCCATCAGCGTGTCAAGTTGTTTAACGCTCGAGAATGTCAAAGTTTGCCTCAGTGTGAACATAAGAAGTCGGTCGGAATCTCTCGGCGCCGAGTCATGAGCGAAGAAATTTTACCCTCATAAAGTGATTTGAAGTTCCATGGGAATTGCGATGTCCACCACGGTTTTTGGCACAACTCCAAAGTCTCTTTCTCGTTGAATCTCTTTTGCAGCCGACGTAATTTTGGGAATCTTTCCTGCGCACTCCTCAGAAACAGTGCTCGTTACGTTTTGATAAATAGATCGGGATGTTCTCGCGTTTTTTGTGCTCCTTCTTTAATTTTTTTGCATGACACTAAAAGCATTGTGGAAGTTTACATTTTGCCCCTCAGTAGTACTGCCAATAGTTAGGAATACTTTTTGAAATTTTGTCAAAGTTTTTTTTCCTACATTTCTCCTCAATTTTTAACTGCTAAGCACTTAACAGTAATGCTTTTTTGCTCCTTTTTGAACCGAATTTCTTGAAATTTTAGTTTGAAAAAATGTTAAAAAAAGTTAAGACCTGTAGAAAACTGACTGTTCAGTTACTCGTTCATGAGGCAACACTGATTGTAAATGAACTGCTTCTTTCGCCACAAGTAAATCATCACGTGTATATAATTTTGATTTGCAAGGTCTTTTTGAGCATATCCAAGTTAATAGCCCATTTTTTTTTCATTAAATCGAACTTCATTAATTTTTTATCTTCAAAGATCAAGATTAGTTTCCCGCGCTTGCTTGTAGTGAATTGCAACATTATTCGAATGAGTAGAAACGTAGTTAGAAACCAAATTGATGATATGAAAATAATTGCAATCAAGGGTTGGACTCAATTTTCACTGTTGAACGAACAAAAGACTCAAATTTTTTCCCAATAACAGAAAGTAAACCAATGGGAGGGAGCAGTTGTTTATAACAGCATGTCCAGTAAATACTTGAAGAATAACGCGGGACATATTTTAATTGTGCCATCAGCGTGCCAAGTTGTTTAACGCTCGAGAATGTCAAAGTTTGCCTCAGTGTGAACATAAGAAGTCGGTCGGAATCCCTCGGCCCCGAGGCATGAGCGTAGAAATTTTCCCCTCATAAAGGTGATTTGAAGTTCCATGGGAATTTCGATGTCCCCCACGGTTTTTGGCACAACTCCAAATTGTTTTTCTTGTTGAATCTCTCTTGCAACCGACGTAATTTTGGGCATCTTTGCTGCGCACTCCTCAGAAACAGTGCTCGTTACGTTTTGATAATAGATCGGTATGCTCTCGCGTGTTTTGTGCTCCTTCTTTAATTTTTTGCATGACACTAAAAGTATTGCGGAAATTTACATTTTGCCACCCCAGTTGTACTGCAAATAGTTAGGACTACTTTTTGAAATTTTGTCAAAGTTTTTTTTTCCTACATTTCTCCTCAATTTTTAACTGCTATGCACTTACCGGTAATGCTTTTTTACTCCTTTTTGAACCGAATTTCTTGAAATTTTAGTTTGAAAAAATGTTAAAAAAAGTTAAGACCTGTAGAAAACTGACTGTTCAGTTACTCGTTCATGAGGCAACACTTATTGTAAATGAACTGCTTCTTCCGCCACAAGTAAATCATCACGTGTATATACTTTTGATTTGCAAGGTCTTTTTGAGCATATCCAAGTTAATAGCCCATTTTTTTTTTTTTCAATAAATCGAACTTCATTAATTTTTTATCTTCAAAGATCAAGATTAGTTTCCCGCGCTTGCTTGTAGTGAATTGCAATATTATTCGAATGAGTAGAAACGTAGTTAGAAACCAAATTGAGGATATAAAAATAATTGCAATCAAGGGTTGGACTCAATTTTCACTGTTAAACGAACAAAAGACTCAAATTTTTTCCCAATAACAGAAAGTAAACCAATGGGAGGGAGCAGTTGTTTATAACAGCATGTCCAGTAAATACTTGAAGAATAACGCGGGACATATTTTAATTGTGCCATCAGCGTGCCAAGTTGTTTAACGCTCGAGAATGTCAAAGTTTGCCTCAGTGTGAACATAAGAAGTCGGTCGGAATCCCTCGGCCCCGAGGCATGAGCGTAGAAATTTTCCCCTCATAAAGGTGATTTGAAGTTCCATGGGAATACCGATGTCCCCCACGGTTTTTGGCACAACTCCAAATTGTTTTTCTTGTTGAATCTTTCTTGCAACCGACGTAATTTTGGGCATCTTTGCTGCGCACTCCTCAGAAACAGTGCTCGTTACGTTTTGATAATAGATCGGTATGCTCTCGCGTGTTTTGTGCTCCTTCTTTAATTTTTTGCATGACACTAAAAGTATTGCGGAAATTTACATTTTGCCACCCCAGTTGTACTGCAAATAGTTAGGACTACTTTTTGAAATTTTGTCAAAGTTTTTTTTTCCTACATTTCTCAATTTTTAACTGCTATGCACTTACCGGTAATGCTTTTTTACTCCTTTTTGAACCGAATTTCTTGAAATTGTAGTTTGAAAAATGCAAAAAAAAAGTTAAGACCTGTAGAAAACTGTTTTTTCAGTTACTCGCTCATGAGGCAACACTGATTGTAAATGATCCACTTCTTTCCCCACAAGTAAATCATCACGTGTGTATAATTGTGATTTGCAATGTCTTTTTGAGCATGTCCAATTTGTTAACCCATTTTTTTCATTAAATCGAACCTCATTATTTTTTTATCTTCAAAGATCAAGATTAGTTTCCCGCGCTTGCTTGTAATGAATTGCAAAATTATTTGAATGAGTAGAAACGTATTTAGAAACCAAAATGATGATATAAAAATTAATGCTATCTAGGTTTTGGACTCAATTTTTGGTGTTAAAGGAACAAAAAAGACTCATATTTTTTCGCAATAACTATTTTGAATTAAGTATAAAATTTAAGTATACTGATTTTCAGTATTGGATTACGGCTCTTAGTTTAGGGATAATTTAAAGATTATCTTACGAGTTTATTGCGAGTTGTCGTAATTTCTATTTTATACAAGTTGGTTTTTTTTGCGAGTTGTCGTGTTAGGCTTTTAGTATTAATGAATGATGAAACGTTACGTCGTTACATGATGAGGTTATGGTTTTAGTTGCTTTTTTCATTTGAAGTGTAATGACGAGTGTTTTTGTTAAGATCGACACACTGAATTGATGACTGAGGCGAGGACGAGGAGCAGCTACGTGGAGTCCCAGTTCAACCAGGTCATCCAACTCCTCGAGACCCCTCCTAGGAGATTCCATAACAGTATGTCATACTAATTCTGCTCACTGTTAAACCAAATTTTGAGGAAAATGAGTGTATTAGCCAGAAAATATACTTTTTAAACATACTTTTACTAGTTAACTATAAACAGAATTTTTGAACAAAATGATAACAATATTGTCACATAAACACAAAGATAATAAATATCGTTGAATTTGGAGACATTTTTCAGAAATACACCTCTGAACCAACGACTAGAAAAATTATGCAGGGAAAACACGCTCAAGCCAATCCTCGCTTTAGAGAAACTTTTTCGAGTAAACAAAGAAGCTCATAAGCAGCAAAATACGTTGATAACATGATGATGCATGCTTTGATCAATAATCATACCCTTTTTAAGATCTGTATATGACGAAACAATTCGTTTTTGCCTTACCATCCTTAAAAGAAAACACATTTTGTTAGGATCAAAATGAAATAGTTTGAAATGAAATTATGATGTTTACTTTAGGGTACGATGATGGAATGATCTCTGACGATGACATGTTGGACAGCAACAGCCAAGCAGAAAACAGACTCAGTCGCAACAGCAACTCATTCAATCCCCTTCCCAACAACAACAGACCCGTGTCCACGGCATCTACAGCCTCATATACCAACAGTCAGATCGACCAACAACACACCCCCAATCAGAACAGGAACTACACATCCCCAAACGAGGACAGTAACTCACACACGTCTCAATACTCTACGCCACAAGCGAAATCAACAGCTAGTAGTCATCGCAAACAGACGAATGGAGGAACCGCGAATGTGCAGGTAATTGAACAACTCTTATATGTGCGACCTTGATTGATAAACTGGATGTTATCATAAAAACAGATGTAACTGAACTAACCATAGTTAATGCCAAATTGTTTGCAATATCCTTTTCAATCAACGAATTTGGAAGAAGTTAGTTGAATTGAAACTTTTCTTTTTGACGTTTGGAACAAATTTTTCACTCTTGTCAGCATGTTTTGACCAATTTAATTGCTCAAGGTAGCCGATATTGCCATTTAGCGTTAACTATAAAAAGACACTGTTTTGTAATGTGAAAATATATATTCTTGTGTTCAAAAACCTTCAATAGAATCAAAATGGGAGCTCGAGGTGATAATTATAGGCACATTCTATTTCTCAGCAACCATATCCTTGGTCGTTTTCGATAAACTTGCCAAGGAGCTGTATTAACCAGGGTAAACGCCCCCCTCCCCCACCCCCACCCCTCAATAAGTCGACCCCCTGACTACCCAAAGGTTCCACCCTTTGAACTATTTTGAGCTGATATCTATTTTTGGCTGACGGACCCTAAAACTTTTCAAAGGCTCCGTTGGAATCAATACATACTAATTTTGAGAGGGAAACGCGCGTCAAAAAACAATCTTTTCAGGCAAAATTTTGCAAAAAGTGCCTGGAAACGGCTTTGGCGCACCAAATTTGGTCAAATTAGGCTCTACATAGTGATTTGGGAGAGCTCAGATAATCAATTCGACATTTGGGAGAGCCCAGAAAATCAATTCGACGAAATTTTCGAAAATCTGATTTGTACGTTTTGATAATCCGGTAATTGTCGCCTCGATAGTCTAATTTTGATTTCGCGTTCATAATTTTTATCTTGAAAAATGTTTTAATTTAAAATTACCGAACTGATGATGTTAAGTTGAACGATGTGCTTTCAGATCATCACTAGGTTCTAGTCTGCTTCAGCTTAAACTGAAACTGAACTGCATATGACTGACTGAACATAAGCTGTGAATGCAGTCTGAAACTTGAATAAAACTAGCAGTTCAAAAGTAGTAATAATTTAAATTCATTATCATGTGTATTTGATACCAAATTGACAAGATATTAGAACAAAACTTCTGTTTCTCATCGACACTGAAGTCAATTATTATTTTCAAATCGAGACTTTTTTGAAACAAAGACAAAAGTTTCTCTTTCGTTATTTGACAATTTTATTGATAATCAGTTTTCATGCTACAAATATTTTAAAGCTTTTGATGGTAACAATGTAAAGGATATGAAAACATCGTGACTGTACTATAAATCATATTTTGTTATACCATCGTGACTTACATAAGTTAAAACTTGGACTATAAATTTTGTGTTTTGCAACAGCAAACTGCACCTAAAGCGTCAAGTCCAAACGAGAAAGTTATCTCGCGCAAGCTTCGTTTCTTCAAGAGCAGTTCAATACCTGAAAACGAGGAAGGCGAAACCCCCACCCAAAATGGGCCGGCAATAACTCTGCCCCCTCTCAAATTAAACCAACAAGACATAGCATCGCCGACGTCTCAATCGTCATCGAACGCAAATGAGAAAAGTATTGACGTTTCGCTGTTGAAGTACAAAGCGAGACTCGTGAAAAGTAGCCGCTCGATGGCTCGTAGACTTCTGCCGTCTCGTCATCGAAATAACCGGTCGGCAGCTCGCTGCGGAACAAATAATAATAAACAGGTGAAGTCAAAAAGAAACGAACTCGATTCGGATTCCGTGAATGTGAGAACGTAGCATGAAAACTTGACTTGTTCACTGTTGTTCACTAATTTCATCCTAGTTCATAGAAAACAACAAGAAGCATGGGACTAGAATAATCATCCGTTCTGTAATGGCAAGTTGCATCGGTTTTGTGCTGTGAAATAACTGATAAAAGACAATTTGTCATGTAAATATTTTTTTTGGTTCAATAATGTCGATGTTGTGACGTGTGGATGTGACAGTGAGTTTCCGTGAAATTAAGTTAGGTGGTTGCATTGTTAGTTTGAATTGTTTCTATGAATGTGCATGTAATGTGTGTGAACCTGCGGCAGATGGTCATGAAAGTGCATTTAGAAGTATTAATTTGTCAACTACGGACAATACGTGTATGTAGGTTGGGATTGGCTGACCAGTTCAATTGCCTCCCGACTGTCCACAAAGCGTTGTGCTCAGTTCAGGGTCAAGCGATTAACATTAAAGCCATCAGAGCGATGAATCAGGGGAAAAAGTTTGAAATTAATTCCACGCAGTTTAGAAAACGGTCAGAATAGGGATATATGATATAGTCAAACTACCTGTTGTTGACGAAATTAATTTAGGAGCAGGATTGAAAGTGTAGGACCTGGTGTGACTTTTTTGCTTCAGGGGCGCATCTAGGATTTACTCGAGGTAGAGGGAAGGGAGGGTGGCATTTTCGAAAAATGTTGTCGACCTTTTTTTAGGTCGACCATATTGATTTTCCGAGCTCTCCCAAAGCACCAAAAATACTGGCCAAATTTTCTGCGTCGCAAGCTAAATTTCGAAAAAACAGGCCAAAAAAGGCGTTTTTAGTCACGTTTTGGAAATTTCAAATTTTGCTATATGGAATATAATCATTTTATATTGTTAATTAGTATATATTGACCTCAAAATTAGTATTTATTGGCGCATTTAGAAAAATTTTAGGGTCCGTCACCAAAATGGATATCTCAAAGTAGTACGAAGGGTCGGCAGGGGGTCCAATTCCTGATGGGTGAGGGTGTCGCCACCCCCCTAAACCCGCCCCTGAATGGACAATTTTAAGTTATTTTCAGGTTAAGGTCTTGATTCAATTTATTGTCATTTTTTCACAGATATGAGAATTTTTCATAATTTTAATCCGCGATGCTTAGATTTAGACACGGAAGCATTATAGCAACTAGCTCAACCAAAAAGAAGATTTAAAAGAAGACCTTAAAGACAAATACCTGATACTGATACCGTAGATTGCCTGATACTTCTGATATCTCCATGGTAATAAAATGAAGATTCATATTTCAGTTCAGTTATGTGTTTGCTACTTTCAAAGCAAATCTGTCTAGACCTTTGACCGGCAATAGCTGAACTCTTTGTATTTATTGTATGTGGATTGATTGTGTTTTATTGAATCTAACATCACAATCTAGGCTTTATTACTGCATGTTGAGCCAATCGATCTGAAAATGACAATATTTCAATAAGGTTTTCATGTCAAATCAACTTGCAGACTTACAAATGTGCTAAAATGTTTCGTGAGTGTTTAGGTAACTCTGTTACTTTTCTTTCAAATGCATACCAGGATGAAATAAGTATTAATAAGTATGTTGCATTGCGGTGCTTAATTATAGCTTTTGAACTAAATCTCATGCGCGTTTGAGCAAAATAAGCATCAGAAAAATCACGAAGTGGTACTGCACATATTACATTAACATCCAAATTGAATCGGGAGCAGTGTTCCTGAGTGTAATTTAGCAATGAATTTCGCCCTGGTGCTGCGGTACCGTGCGTGCGCTTGTTAATCATCTTATAAATAGCGGCCAGGCAAAATTGTTTGTCAAATTTCGATGTTCATCAACTTGTATGATCAATATGATACAGCTAGATCGAGCTTCATTTTATCATGCTACTAACCATATGCAACTCAACGAATGAGTAGTCATTACTATCAACATCAATAGTATCCTCAAATTGCTGCATGCATACTCCTGAAGATGCTTGCGGACAGATTGTTCAGGCATGTAATGTTCTTTGGTTTAGGACAACAGTGACACGTCATCTACTGGATCCGGCTCAGGAGGTCATCACAGTTCAAGCAATTACCACTCCTCGCAGCAGCACCAGTACAAGAGCAAGAATGGAGGAGTAGGAGGGGATGCCCATGTGGTCGGTGTCGGGTTCCATCACGAGTTCCAGACATCGAATAGCTCCTCACGCAGCTTCGCAGAGAAGCTCAGGTCATCATTCACCAAGCAGGGAAAGGTCAGCAACATGTGATCTTTTCAAATTGTGATTTATCTATTTAATTGAAGTCAAATATAGTTACATGTAAAATTTTTGGCATCATCGGTGACCTTGGCGCTAAAGAATTGGCGCTACTATTATCCATAGGTTGAACTAGGGTTTTGGCCTAGAACAACCCAGGATTGTGTCTTCGAATACGGTTGAATCAACTTAATTGACTGGGATTTTCAATATCTTATATATTTTAGAGAAATACGTGGAATATATCTTCAGGTTTCAAATGATGTTTGTTGCGTTTCAGTACACCGTTAATGTCGGACCCACGTCTCCTACGTCACATCAAACGGGCTCTGCGAACTTCATCCCAAACAGTCCCAATGCCGCAACGGGGTCCCATGACAGGTAAGGCTCATGATGTGAAAGCTTATGTTCGATAGAGAGAAAATCCTTCACAAGGGCTTCTTTATCTTTATGTACATGCTTATGACTGAACATGGTGTAATTGTAAGTGTAGAAATTGTGATTTATCTATTTAATTGAAGTCAAATATAGTTACATGTAAAATTTTTGGCATCATCGGTGACCTTGAGCAGGTGCCGATTTAAGAATTCTTTTGAAGGAGGGAGCGCGGGTTTTCAAAAATTTTAGTCAACCAAAAGGATTTTCGGAGCTCTCTCAAAACTCTATTTTACGCCAGTTTCTGAGCATTATTGGAAGGTTTTGACCGAGAAATTGTGTTTTTTTCTCGACTTGCGCGCGCTCCTTAAAATTTAAAAGGTTTGCTTGACCAAAAATAGAGACTAATGGGAGACCTTTTGGTGGTTATTGGGTCAAATACGTGGGAGTGTGGTTTTGTGGAGCCCGTACATCCGCTAGTGACCTTGAGCATCTCTATCGGTACAAAATCTATTGGGTTTTATAGGCTAATTATTTATTTTAAACTATTGTCATTCAATGAAAATAGATTTTGACATCAAAATGAGCGATCGTATGTTATTAACTTAGTTCATATGCGTAGACCTGACATTCTAAAACACTGTTTATCTATTTGTTTCAGTAATTTCAGATCTAGCTTCGATCATGAAACGATAGATGGGCAGCCGGGATTTCCGAGGGAGGCATCGGCCGAGTCCTTCACAGACTCCAATGACATGAACAATGACTCATCGATCTGTTCCTCTGTCTCCCAAAACCAGATGGGCGGTGGAGGCACTACTGCTGTCATCCGCACAGATCCCAAACAGATGTTACTGAAATTGAACCTGCTGAAGCTCTATCCGCTCTTCCAAAGACATCACATAGACGGGACTAATTTACACGAGCTAGTGTCTTCCGAAAAACTCAAGGTTTGATGCTTGGTCAATTTTGGGCCTAATTTAAACAGAGTAAGTGATAAAGTTACCGTCAAAAAACAAGTCTGCTTAAGTGCCTTCATAGATCAAAAATAAACAAGGACACGGCCGGTTACTGTACAAGTAAAACCCAATGTTCTGACCATATTAATTTTTGCGAAAATTAATTTTTATTAAGAGTCGATGAATAGAGTGAAGACTTATATAGGTGGCGATGAGTTTTTTTCGGTTTTTTTTCAGGAAAAGCCTTTAAATTTGTTCAGGCTCAAATTTGCTTTTTCGCGGTTTGACATCTGATTCTTTTTTTAAGGCAAACTCAACTATCGAACTGCGAAAGTGTAAAGAACACGAAAAAATGTGATCGATTTCTAGTATCGAAACTGGAATTTAATTATCGAATTTCTCGGCGAAATAAAAATTTTACCTATTGATCCAGTTTTCTCAAATTGGGTTACTTCTATCAAAAAGTGTAAATCATAAATTGTTCCGGAAATTCAGAGCTTTATGGCGATTTTTTCTTGAAATAAATTGGAAAGTTGAGATTTTTTCAAAAAAAATAAATCCGTTTTTTTTTCTGTTTACTTGCATTTATTGACTCTTTCCCAACTGTCTGTTGGCTATGTTTCGATTCTGGGAATCCGAATCATGGCTGAAAGGGCTTGAATAGGATATCAGCCCTACGAGCTCTCTTTTAGATAATCAAAATCGGGAGGAAAAAGTTCAATCTGTCTCATATATCCTCTATTGGGGTGGTTGGAACAACTTTTTTTTTTGAATAATTCGAAAGAATTTGACGCACAGTTTCCGGAAAAATATTTGACAGAAAGATATCGCATCAAAAGCGAGCTGTTGCTTGTGCTCTAGTTTTCTCGACATTGAGACAAACTTTGTGATTTTTTGGAATCCGAATCAGGACTGAAAGCGATTCAAAATAATTCCACTTGTGAAACCCGCGAGGTTTGTTCGAGCTGGTCAAATTTGGTCGGAAAAACACTCTACAACATAGTTCCTTCCCTTTCTGTGAAGTGGTTGGAGCAAAATGCTTGCTGCTGAGAACGATAATAAATCATTTCTAGTTATTCTGCTATGATCATTTGTTCCTTTTTATGAACCAAATTTGTGATTTGCATGAACAGCTAGTGACTCGTTTAATATTTGTGCAGGAAATTGGAGTTGTGGATAAGAAAGACCGTGAGTTGATCAAGCAACACATTAAGGAGATGAATAAAATCATCAACAGGGACTCCAAACTCAAGTCCAAATCGAAAACAAACAATCAGTTTCTCCCCTCAGCCACGGCAAAGTAAATAAACAAATCATATGCTACCTTCAAATCAAACTTCACAATACCTGTTTCATCCTTCTGGAATTAATGAATAAAAAGCTGAAATTTCTTTTAAAACTAGACAACGTTTTTTAATGAAAAGTGAATTGAAGCTTGGGATTAAAAGGATAGAAATCTCTATTTTTGTAGCTTGAGCTAACCATTCATAATTCGATTTAGTTTGATTTTTAAAAAGTAGTTCCTAACTAGCTCCGTGGAGAGTGCGATCCCATTTCTTCCCAGTCGTAGACTAATGATGTCTCATTTTGACTCTTTCTTCTCTCCCAAAAACCTTCTCAGTGCTCTCTTGAACTCAAGCGTGAAATCATTATCCCTCTCATATTAGTAGTCTATTGTATCTCTACTCATCAGAACTCACAAAATTCTAGATTAGACTAGCGAAATAGTTTTTTTGAACCTCTTTAAAAATAATATTTTAGGCAATGTTATTAAATGTGCAGCCAAAATTTGGTTCCAAGTATGTGTTAAATTGGTTCAATTGTTTTGCTAACGAAGAAACTAACATCGAAACAAGGATAGAAATATCTAAATGAAAACTCAGTGCTGTATTTTCTAACAATATTTGATTCTGATTCTATTTTCAATGATCTATTGTGGCAGATTTAACTGTTTTCGAAGCTTTTCTTCTTTTGATTTCAGGTGTAAATAACATAATTAGATCAAACAGTTTGCCTGTTCTTCGGTGCGCCCAAAATCATATTTTGTAAACTAAATTAATGACTCGTGCAATCAATTTAATCGAAGTAAAAATAAATTATTTGCTTCTCTCACCTTTACTTTATTAGAAAAATAAAGAAAAGGAAGCTGGCTCAGCTTTGATCCAAAATCGTGAATGATTTATATGTGGACACTTCCTTTCTGTCAGTAGTGATATTTCTAATTAAATGCTAAATTGCTCCTATTCTGGTGGTTCGTAACTGAAATCAATTTCAACTATTTCGATAATTTATTTTTTAAACCAGATGAACAAAGTCATGGAAGCGCATTAGAAGGTTTCGTTAGACTTGGATTGTCATCAAAGGTTGATCGACGTCAATGTTTAAAAGACAATAAAATCAATTAGAATAGAATTTCCAGAACTGCTCAAATTATTACCCCATTGAAGCTGTTTTGCCCTGAGTTATTTCCGGTACTACTGAGATGCGTTCTAAGGGTGTATGAAAAAACAGCGCGAGGGAGGAGGTTAAAATTCCAGTGCTTCCAACAATTCATGCGATTAATAGTAGACATTGGGTTTTGTTGCCCGCCAGTTGTCGATGGGCAGCGAATACGTCAGACAATGAATGAATTTAATACGTCAATCATAGGCAAAAATGATTGAATTTTATAAAGAACAGTAGTGAAATTGATTAGTACGCAATTTAAAACCTTGCTCGAATGATACAGAAACGCCCCGTTGCCCCCAGACAGGGTGAAGGACTTCCGACATATCTGACACTCAGCCGATTTAGCGTTGACTTTATTGAAATATTTCCACACCCAACTCGACATGTTTATCTGAAAACGACAAAATATAACGTGGTAGTATGATAGGAATTCTAGTAAATGGTCCCCCTTTGGTGTGCATTTCCATCGGTTAACCGGTTAATGAAAAGTTAACCGGTTGAAATAAATTAAAAGGTTAAACGCTCCGAGGCCTAGTCAATCAAGTTTCGAACATTTAGCATGAGTTTTTGAGTTATCAACTAGAGTTTTTGAGGGGCTGAGAACGTGACATATATAACGTGCTCGTTAGTTTTGAAGTTAGTGAACGAAGTGGATATTCTATCTCAAAACTTTTGTTCATGCTGAAATTTGGACTCATGCTAAAGCATTTGCTGGATGATATGCAGTTCGATTTTTTGGGTCCTTCTCATTATAGCCTGGGGGAACTATGATTGGAAAGAGCCGATTTTATTAATATTCATTTTCCAAATGAAAGGCGAATTACACTCTGCACTAATAAAAGGCAAATGGAGGATAAAAACGCGATTGACCATTAAGCTTCATAAGAAGCTTTATGTCACGATTTCGCATCAAAATAAGATCTCAAAAAATAAAATTGAAAAAGACTTAAGGCATTAATTTTTTCTTTGAAAATTTGCCCAAAAGCAGTTATCAAATTGAGGTACTAAGGTAGTCAAAATTTTGTGTAGGCAAAGTTTTTAAGAGTCCATGAACGTAATTCAGACTCATATAGGGAGCGCTGCGTTTTCGTTCTTTTTTTCAGGAAAAAGCTTTTTTTTAATTTTTTTAAATTAGACCCCGGCCTGCTCAGTGCAGGACCAACCGCGTGGGGGAGGGAGATATCATCCATTTCGACGCAGCCGGTCCCACCTTGAGGAGGCGGATGACACTGGGACCCCTCCAACCGTGAACGAAGCGGGATTCGAACGCATAACAATCGTGTTCAGAGACATGTGCCTAACCCACTCGACCACGGCTGCTCTCCCAATCGACCACGGCTGCTCAAAAGGAAAAGGCTTAAAATTTGTTGAGGCTCAAATTTACTTTTTGCGATTTGACTTTTAATATCTTTTTAAGTTGAGTTTTTTTCTTTTGTTAAAAAGAAGGCAAACTCCACTATCGAACAGAACCTTGTAAAGGTCACAAAAAACTTGAGTGACTTCTTCCGAAAATGGAAGTTAATTATCGAATTTCCCAGCGATATACAAATTTTAAATATTGATCCAGTTTTCTCAAATTTGTTTTTTAATCAAAAAATCAATCACTAATTGTCCCAGAAAGTCAAAAACTTAGTCCAGACTCTTATATAGGTTGCTATGATTTTTTAAAAGTAAAGTCTTAGAATTTGTTAAGGCTCAAAAATATTTTTCGTTACTTGTATTTTGATTTCTTTAGAAGTTCAATTAATTTCTTTTGTTTGAATGAAGGCAAAATCCATTATCGATTAGCGTAACTGTGAAGGTCACGAAAGATGTGATTGAATTTTAGTTACAAGAGTGAAATTCTATTAGCGAATTTCCCAGCGAAATGAAAATTTTACCTATTCTCTGAAATTGGGTTGATTTAATCAAGAAATGGCAACTATAGTTTGTTTTAGGTATTCAAGAGTGTTATGGCCATCTATTTTTAGCAGTAGATGAACGTATATCAGACTCTTTCCTAGGTTGCGCTAATTTTTTTGTTTTTCAGGAAAATGCATCAAACTTGTTCAGGCTCAAAAATACTTTTTCGGGGTTTAATTTTTAAATTCCTTTAAATTCTGTTGCTTTACTTTTTTAAAGCAAAAGCAAATTCCACGATTGGACAGAAGTTGTAGCGGTAACGAAAAGCGTGATCAACTTCTAGTTTCAAAAATGGATTTTAATTATCGAATTTCTCAGCGAAGTAAACTTTTTACTTATTGATCCAGTTTCCTCAAAATGGGCTAGTTTCATAAAAAAAAGTTCCAAAAAGGAATTGGAGTCCTGAGATTTCCCTGCGGATTAAGAATTACCTTCTGATCCAGATTCGTGCTAAGGGAGATGATAATGGAGATGCGATATCTGTTATACAAAGGGCTGAGTCCTCTTTTTACCTGCGCAAGAACAAATATCTTTGGATCCAGATTTTTCAAATTTTTTCAATTTGGATATAATATTGACTAGAATTTCCAGACTGCGTGTAAGGTAACATGAAAAGATAAAATTAATTGTTTTATGAACTACAGCAAAATGTGCGCCTATCCAGTGAACAGTTTCACCTCGTAATTAATCTGGTTATGAGATTTTTTTGTACAGGTTGTTCCCAAACTCGTGCTTGAGTCGATGAACATTGTTCAGACTCTAATATAAAACTTGATGATTTTTTTTCATGAAGTCTTAAAACTTGTTCAGGCTCATTGTTGAAATTGTCGCTCAACCTCAATGTTGAAGTTAATGAAAGCTGTTTGAAATTGCATAAAAGGCATTAATTTTTTCTTTGAAAATTTGCCCAAAAGCAGTTATCAAATTGAGGTACTAAGGTAGTCAAAATTTTGTGTAGGCAAAGTTTTTAGGAGTCCATGAACGTAATTCAGACTCATATAGGGAGCGCTGCGTTTTCGTTCTTTTTTTCAGGAAAAAGCTTTTTTTTAATTTTTTTAAATTAGACCCCGGCCTGCTCAGTGCAGGATCAACCGCGTGGGGGAGGGAGATATCATCCATTTCGACGCAGCCGGTCCCACCTTGAGGAGGCGGATGACACTGGGACCCCTCCAACCGTGAACGAAGCGGGATTCGAACGCATAATAATCGTGTTCAGAGACATGTGCCTAACCCACTCGACCACGGCTGCTCTCCCAATCGACCACGGCTGCTCAAAAGGAAAAGGCTTAAAATTTGTTGAGGCTCAAATTTACTTTTTGCGATTTGACTTTTAATATCTTTTTAAGTTGAGTTTTTTTCTTTTGTTAAAAAGAAGGCAAACTCCACTATCGAACAGAACCTTGTAAAGGTCACAAAAAACTTGAGTGACTTCTTCCGAAAATGGAAGTTAATTATCGAATTTCCCAGCGATATACAAATTGAAAATATTGATCCAGTTTTCTCAAATTTGTTTTTTAATCAAAAAATCAATCCCTAATTGTCCCAGAAAGTCAAAAGCTTAGTCCAGACTCTTATATAGATTGCTATGATTTTTTAAAAGTAAAGTTTTAGAATTTGTTCAGGCTCAAAAATATTTTTCGTTACTTGTATTTTGATTTCTTTAGAAGTTCAATTAATTTCTTTTGTTTGAATGAAGGCAAAATCCATTATCGATTAGCGTAACTGTGAAGGTCACGAAAGATGTGATTGAATTTTAGTTACAAGAGTGAAATTTTATTAGCGAATTTCCCAGCGAAATGAAAATTTTACCTATTCTCTGAAATTGGGTTGATTTAATCAAGAAATGGCAACTATAGTTTGTTCTAGATATTCAAGAGTGTTATGGCCATCTATTTTCAGCAGTAGATGAACGTATTTCAGACTCTTTCCTAGGCTGGGCTAATTTTTTTGTTTTTCAGGAAAAGGCATCAAATTTGTTCAGGCTCAAAAATACTTTTTCGGAGTTTAATTTTTAAATTCCTTTAAATTCTATTGCTTTACTTTTTTAAAGCAAAAGCAAATTCCACGATTGGACAGAAGTTGTAGCGGTAACGAAAAGCGTGATCAACTTCTAGTTTCAAAAATGGATTTTAATTATCGAACTTCTCAGCGAAGTAAACTTTTTACTTATTGATCCAGTTTTCTCAAAATGGGCTAGTTTCATAAAAAAAAGTTCCAAAAAGGAATTGGAGTCCTGAGATTTCCCTGCGGAATAAGAATTACCTTCTGATCCAGATTCGTGCTAAGGGAGATGATAATGGAGCTGCGATATCTGTTATACAACGGGCTGAGTCCTCTTTTTTACCTGCGCAAGAACAAATATCTTTGGATCCAGATTTTTCAAATTTTTTCAATTTGGATATAATATTGACTAGAATTTCCAGACTGCGTGTAAGGTAACATGAAAAGATAAAATTAATTGTTTTTTGAACTACAGCAAAATGTGCGCCTATCCAGTGAACAGTTTCACCTCGTAATGAATCTGGTTATGAGATTTTTTTGTACAGGTTGTTCCCAAACTCGTGCTTGAGTCGATGAACATAGTTCAGACTCTAATATAAAACTTGATGATTTTTTTTCATGAAGACTTAAAACTTGTTCAGGCTCATTGTTGAAATTGTCGCTCAACCTCAATGTTGAAGTTAATGAAAGCTGTTCGAAATTGAGAGTTCAAATTGCATAAAAGACTAAAATAGGAAATAACTAGAAAAATGGCTTGACTTGGTAAGAAAAATACACGATGAGGTAATGCAAAAGGCTAGGAACTATGTAGAATCTGAGGAAACTTCTAGGTTTACTTCATCGCGTTCCGGGGAACTGGCTTCTTCGAACGCTTTCGAAAGTTATCATCAGTCTAGTGTATCAGGTCAGAGTAAAACATCGGTCTATGGTGTCAAG